TTCTCACGGCGGTTGAGATGTCGATGTTGGTACTATGGGTTTTACGCCGTCTAGACTTCTCGGTAGATACAAATGTTTCGGAGGAACACTCCCTCTATCAACTTCACCCCCAAAGGTGGAAACAGTATATTTCACCAAAACGTTGGTATCTACCTACACGTCCACACGGCGTTTCAACGCAGAATATTATCACCGACAACCGTGAATAGATGGGACTGGGAAGAATTAGTTTTCCCATTGGTTTAGGGACCAAAGACCCTTCGATCGTCAAGCAACACAGTTACATGAATCGGGTAAAATTTGTCTCTTGGATTCAAATACTGCCGTTAACAATATCAGGCACGAAACAATGCGCATCGCAGCCTTTCTGAACACAGACTTTAAAGTACCGTCCTAACTACTATTCATTTCGAGAGACTTCTGTTTCTGGTCGAGATTATACAGTCGAATTCACACCGGAGCGTGGTTTTGCGGGGAGGTTTAGAGGGGTGTTCACACAGGACCATTATAGAGCTTTGTTTCAGATTAAATCCTCACATTACCAGCAGTGTTACAAGGTTTATGCTATGTACCTTAGGGACAAGGTTTGTCTCGGGTACACAGAAGTAAATACCCTATAAAGTGGTGAATAGATTGATTAATAATTGGTGGCTGTGGATAACAGTAAAGTACCATAATTTGTAGACCAATATTTCTTAGAAATGCATCAATTTTGGCATACCCTGATACTATGTAGATATAAAGCACTCTCTACCTAGCAACATGTGAATTACAAGGACTGATTTCCATTTATTTATTTTTCTGTGTTACTGAAAATATTACATAACCTTTTCCAAAGATATTATAATTTTCTACGCCAAAGAAAAGCACGCTACGTGTGACGTCAGTGCCCGACTGAAACAAAGAACGACCTTGAGGAGACTTTATGTCTTCTAACATCAGCAAATGAAGACAATTAGAAAATTTGTTTACGTTAATGAGAGCAGGAATTATCTCCTGCTTGGATCACCTATGATAGATCTTGATAAGTTCCTGACGATTTGTACTTTACAACGTTTCAACAACGATTTAAGTCTCGAAGGAATTAGCCTGTCCAACATCATTAACCCTTCACATATTCGATAATAATTCTTCCACACACTTAAAATGGTTTGGAAATCTGCAAGGATATCGAAATTCTCAATTTACTTTTTTCTGAGATGATAATGTTGCGTCATATTGTGATGAATTATAATTGTTTAATTTTAACCGTCTAATCACAATAAAATATTTTATTAAATATTAAAATATTATTACTACAATTAACATTTAATATTTAAAATATACTAAAATATATAATAAAATGATGCTCTTTCTATCGAAATGTTCGATTTACAATTAGAGCATCATCTTTTCCACGACATGTTTCGGTTTTCAATGAACCATCTTCAGGTGTTTAATTGATATAAACTTAAATGTAATGTTCTAAATGCAATCCTTCGTCAGAAAGTTATCCACTTCTAGATCAATTGTATTTTATTATCACATTCAATGTTGTTTCGTAAATGTATGACATACGAAGGATTGCATTTAGAACATTACATTTAAGTTTATATCAATTAAACACCTGAAGATGGTTCATTGAAAACCGAAACATGTCGTGGAAAAGATGATGCTCTAATTGTAAATCGAACATTTCAATAGAAAGAGCATCATTTTAACATATTTTAAATATTTTAAATATTAAATGTTAATTGTAGTAATAATATTTTAATATTTAATAAAATATTTTATTGTGATTAGACGGTTAAAATTAAATAATTATAAACAATTACTTTTTTCTATCATCGAGTCAAATATTCTCAAATACCCTCGATCTCCGTGAGGCCAAGTTTCGCGCCCATTAATTAAATCAGACGATAAAATAAGAGACTTATGTAACTTTTATATTTGCCGCCCTTGGGATTTTTGAACTGGAATATATACCAACATTTGACGGGGGTCAGGCCCCAAAGTCGAAGTTATACAAAGTTTTACGTTCGTACATTTTCAGTTCATGACTCCAAAGGCAGACTGTCTTCTGGCCGGGTTACGCGTTTTTGTTTCTACATGGAATGTTGCACTGATAACATCTGAAGGACTCTGAAGACAGTTGAAGGCGGATGCGCGCTGCTCGCTCACTGACATCTGTGACGGCGGGCATTTCTCATCATTATCAGCGTGCAACAGTGGCACAAGATTCGAGGGAAACCTAACGCATGGACGGTAAGAATATCAGAACTGTTATATCTTTCTATGCCCCACAACGAAACTTAAAGTCTTTCATTTCTGGAACTAAAGAACGAATTTCGTTCAGGGTTACCGTTCTACACCAAAAGTTTTATTTTGTATCTTAAGTGCGTCATGTTTGTGTTGAATCAAATACATATATTTATTTTCACAGTCTATACACAAACTTATTTAAAATAATGTTGTTAAAATATTATAACATTTACAGTATAAAGTATACTCATTTGCATAATAACACTTGGAAATTAATTCCACAGATAATGAACGTCTGAATACAGACACCAGATCATTATGAAGACGGAAAATTCTACAAACATACTAAAAGATCAATAAATGCAATGCATCAAAATGTATAATAGTTTTTAAAATAAAAAGCCAAAAGTTTTGTTCTTAATAAATTAGTACAGGCATTCCTCGGAGATATTGCGGGTTAGTTTCCAGACCGCAATAAAGCGAGTCACACGAATTCTTTGGTTTCCCAATGCATATAAAAGTTATGTTTACATTATAATGCAGTCTATTAAGTGTGCAATAGCATTACGTCTACAAAAAAACAATGCGAAAACATCGCGAGAATTACCGAAATGTGACGTAGAGACACGAAGTGAGCTCATGCTGTTGGAAAAATGGCGCCGATAGACTTGCTCGACGCAGGGTTGCCACAACGCTTCAATTTGTAAAAACAAAAACGCAATATCTGCGAAGCGCGATAAAACGAGGTATGCCTGTATGTCTTTCTGGGATTTATCCAGCGTCTAGCAGTGTAAAAATTAAAATTGTAAAGTTATTCAACTTCAGATGACCTGTGGAAAGACGCTCTGGTCGAGTTATTCTCGACTTTGAAGAAAGTTGGTAGGCCTGAATGATAAAATATAAATCTTGTCTCCTTGCAAGAATAACGCAATAAATTTACCACCAAGGGTTGATCCTATTAGAGAGTTCAGTGCCACAAGGACGTACACGTAGATATTATGCTGTGATGTGTCTAAGACGATCCAGTATTTAGTTAAATAAAGATTTAGATCTGCGCAGACAGGAAATGTCACTGCACTTTTGCAGTTGAAAGGACTTTTGACAAAGCGTGACAAATTACGAATGAGCGGTGAAACAACCCGAAAGCGAGCGATTTTCATTTGTTGATGTTTTTAAACGTAAATGCAGATGAAACTAAATACATGGACGTAATACGGGATCAGCACCATCCAGAAGGGCAGAACATCGTGTGAAAATGTTTCAAAATTTAAATATCTGGAAACAGAAATAACAGGTAGAAATGAGGTCCATGACGAAATTAAGAGAAGAATTCATTTGGAGATCGATTTTTTATTCAGTTAAAAAACTGTCATCATCTCTTTTGCTATCCAAAACATAAAAAATAATTTTACCTGTTGTCTCGTATGGTTGTGAAACGTAGTCTCTTACGTTAAAGGAAAAACGTAGATTACAAGTGATTGAAAACAGAGACGAAATATTTGGGAAATTTAGAATATCGCATACGAGGATCAGCGTGAATTGAACGCAAGGATAGTGAAATCTAGGAGGCTGCGATGGGCTGGACATGTAGCACGCATAGTAGGGTAGGCAAGGGTACACACAGAATTTTTGTAGGGAATCCTGGAAAACGAGCACTGGGCAGACCAAGAAGGAGATGGGAGGATAACATTAAGATGGATCTTAGGGAGGTGGGCTATGAGGATGGCTCAGGATCGTGTTTGGTGGCGGACTCTGGTGTTGTGGCACCTTCTGGGATGGTGGGTAGACGCCAACGTTTCGAAGAAACGTAGTGTCTCCATGTTGGTTTTTATTGTTTTTAAACATTAACTTCATTCGGAAACCTCGTGTTTCTACTTATATCATGTCATATTTTATAAACAAAATTCAATTTGTTATTATTTGATTCTGGATAATAATTATTAGGGCTACATAAATAAATCAGTGTTCAGTTAATATAATTGATCATTTATTGTCGTACATTCGGAAATGTGCCCGAATTTATAACTTGTGTTGGGCAAGGCCGTGGTCTAGGCAACACGGAGTTTTCCTCCGTGGCATCCCAACAATTATTCCATTCACACACAGAAGAAGGCAATGGCAAACCACTTCTGGATCATCTGCCAAGAACGTATATGAACAGGTCCCAGTCCGAGAAAAGGATGGAAGGATCCTGTTCATATGGACTTGTCGTCAGACAGAACACTAAATAATAATAATAATAAAAAATACATCAGATATACAGACAAGAAACTTTTAAAGGAACTCTTCTGTTGCTGATGAACATATCGATCTGGTTCATATGTGTTAAACCAGTTCACATACATTCGCTTTCTTCCAGAGAACGTAGTTTCAGAATGTTTTGTAGTTGTGAGTTTTCGTGGTTCGTTGAGATTAATACTTGCTTGTTGGTGGAATAGTATTTATCATTTTTACCGACTGAACTACGCTACCGCCACTCTGTCATAGTGTCGCGGGTATGTGGCAGCACCATACGTATAAACGTTTCTGAAGAAAATCGATTGATGAGGTCGATTGTTTTAATGTTCGAATTAATCTGCTTTTATTCGATTGTACCCGTCCTTAGGTAATGGTGTTTCTGTTGTTTATTGTTTTGGATTGTGCACGGAAATAGTTTGAAATGAAAAAGTAATACATTAAAATAAATACCATTGTGTGATTGTCTATATCCTGTAAGGGTCTTTATAATTTGATTTTGTGGCGAAAGAACGCACGTAAGCATTGAGTTGAGCCGCTTGGAATTGATATTTGTTTGATATATTCCAATTTTTCACTGAACTGTGCATATTATCGTCACTGAAATGCCTCAGAGAAATAAGTATAATCCAGGCAGCTGGAGAAAGATAAGATAAGGGAATGAGTCGGTGATAAAAGTATAGATTCATTACAACTGAGAGGTTATGTTGCAAGTGAGAATCAACGGGTAAGATGAATGTTGTAAAGAAGTTACTTTAACGTAGTAATCGTGACAGACATTTCGTTACTATTAGAAAGTAATGTAACACGTAGCTAAATAATATTTTCTCTAAGTAATTTTATTCTGAACTATATTAATTTGCTTTGGTATGATTTGAAGGACTATTGAGTCATATCCACTAAGCGATTAGGTAAGGCTGACCTTCAGGTTTTCTAACTCTGGCCTAAGTTTCGAGTTAGACTGTTTGTCAATATCTTTGTGTTTGAAGATGGCTGTCTTCTGGGTGTTGTGCCATGTAGTCTGGTAGAAGTTTACCAACGTTTCAGAGGTCATTGCAGCCTCCATCATCAGGGCAATGAGCCCCTCACCACCTTGATGATGGAGGCAGCAAGGACTTCTGAAATGTCGGTAAACTTCTACCAGACTACATGGCAACCAGCCATCTTCAGACTCACCACTGTGAAAACCCCAAGTTTTACTTAATCTTTGCGTTTGCACATGTATTGCTACGTTGGTCATGATGTACATCTGTTGTAGCTACAAAACCACTGTTGCAATGCAGATCTCACTGTATAATGTTGCATGCATAGTCAGAAGGTATTTTTCTTTGTATTTTGCTAAATATTCACCACATTGAAATATATTTGTAGGTCATAAAGGGGTCTATATTTTTGTGTCGTATGTTGAATTGTGAGAGGACAGACGTGGATGAAGAGAAGTGATGTGTCCTGACTCATTCTATCCTCACTCTACAATCCAATATCTGCGATTTTTACATAAACTGACTGAAATTTACCTTTGTTGTTGCAAGGTATTCTTGTATAGCCAAGCTCGTTGATCAGCATGAGGCAGTTGCTTCTGTGGGTGGGGCACACCTGTAACCGTCTTCGAATCCTGCCACAGAAGAGATTCAGCTCCTCTGCTGCCTCAACACCAAAAATATGCATCGTTGGAAGTGGACCTGCAAGTTTTTATGCCGCACAGCACCTTATTAAGGTCTGGCACACTATCTGATTTCAAAATGGCTTATGCTGTAACAAATCAAACACTTGCTAGAATCATGGGGTTTGCTCCAGCACATTCAGAAATCTGCTGGTTTGTTTAATGTATTTTTTATTCTGAATCATAAGTACTTTTTCTGAGCACTGGTGCTGTTTACATTATTCCCCTCAAAGCAAGCTGCCATAATTTTTTAATTAGGCTTGTCTCGTCTGCTTAAAAGTGACCATGCCTGAAACATCAGGAGCCATCCTTTAATAGAAACCTCAATCTGTTACTGAAAGATGACACATTTTTATTTATGCTTCTGTTAGAGAAGAATGGAAGTCAAAAACTTGGAGTTGTAGCTTGTAAAAGGCATAGATTCAGTAGGTAATCAGAGACTTTGTGAATTTGCTGTTTGTAGCTTAATTTCTCATGTGTTTTTTAACATTTTGGAAAAGAGGATTCTGATTTTATTACACTGAAAAACATGTGCTTGAGAATTATGTTTAATCGTACAGGTAAACATTACTCAGGGGGTTCAAGGATATACCTGTCAGTAGAGTCATAACAGCCTCTTATAACTAACTAACTAACTAACTAGATGGCTTAACGAACCCGAAGGTTCATCACCGAATTAACCAAAGCCCTCCACCGGACCCTGTCCTGGGCCAACAAAATCCAGTTTCCTTCAACTCCCATCTCCCATAGATCCCGCCTGACCTTATCCTCCCATCTACGTCTAGGTCTCTGCAGCGGTCTCTTCCCCTCAGGCTTCCCAAATAGTGGACCCAACCAACCAGATGGCTTTCCGAACCCGAAGGTTCATCACCGAATTAACCAAAGCCCTCCACCGGACCCTGTCCTGGGCCAACAAAATCCAGTCTCCTTCAACTCCTATCTCCCATAGATCCCACCTGAGATTATCCTCCCATCTACGTCTAGGTCTCCCCAGCGGTCTCTTCCCTTCAGGTTTCCCAACCAGTACCCGGTGCACACCTCTTGTCCCATCCATGCGCGTTACATGCCCAGCCCATCTTATTCTTCTCAACTTAATCAAATTGACAATACTGGAGGAGCAGTACAGATAGAATCTGATTCTTTGATCATTTATTTTCCATTTTTGAACACAATAAAATCCAGTAACACCAAATAGCAACATGAAACATTACTTTCACCAAGAAGTCGCACTGAGTTATGAATACCGCTGCAGAATTTGTTCAGTAGACAGTAAACCAAGTTGTCTTGACACATAGCATTTCTTGTTCTCGCACAAAATCAGATGGGAAGACAAAGTATTTTGAACTGAGAAGTAGCAAGCATTTCCAGAATTTAGTCTCCTCCTAACTTCCTCATGAATACTTCACCAGTCTTATATGGAAAGACACCTAATGTGTGTGGAAAATACATTAAAGATTCTGATTATTGGAGTCTTATCAAGAGAGGAATGGAAACTTTTAAGATTCGAAGCAATTTATATGAATTATAATCTGCAAATTAAATTATGGAGGATGTGTTCTTACTGGGATCTGCTGTTCACACGTAAAGAATTTTTGCCATATATGATCACTAACTGTGTAGCAAATAAACGAAAGTGGATTTATGTTGAAGTGACGTAAGAATATGAAAGTTTTTGTTGCAAGCTTGCTTACTTTTGCTATGTGAAATACCAGTGAAAGAATTCTGTAACAAGTAATGAAAAGATTTTGAATAAAGATGGCTGTCTTCTGGGGTGTTGTGCCATGTAGTCTGGTAGAACTTTACGATGTTTCAGGGGTCCTTGCTGTCTCTATCATCAGGGCGATGAGTACTCATCGTCCTGATGATGTCAGTAAGTTCTACCAGACTTCATGGCACAACAACCTAGAAGACAGCCATCTTCAACTCACAGCCATGAAAGCCTCAAATCCGACAGGTTTTGAATAAGACACTACACTACTTTTAAGTATTCTTGAGACTGATAAAAACATCATTTGGTAGTTAACCCGTCGACGTGGTAGTTTAAATACCCCGCATATACTGCTGTCGTGCTGTTCCTGCGGTAGTATTTTTTAAATGCCCGTTTAAATTTTGCTGTAAAATACTCTTTTGTTCATAACTTTTGAACTATATGAGATATAATTATGAATTTTTCACTGAAATCCTCTTAAAAGATGGTTTTATAATCTTACCTTATAAGATGAGATGTGTGAGCAGTGGAAGCAAGTCGATTAGAAGTTTAGTTTCAGAAAAAAACGGAGTGTACAACAGCTGGTTCTTTGAATAGTAAGATCTAAGTGTAGGCTTTTGCACAATGCCCATCAACATAAATAGAGCCAAAAGAACGTAAATTTCGTCCACTGTAACATCTTGCCACTTCCTAATCCTAGAGCGAAATGTGAGAGGATTGGCACTTTTTGATATTTCTTGCTGAGCATATCTGTTGGTTTGATCAGCAATGTGCTGCACAAGTGCTATATCGAAAATATTTTCGAATAAACTCACGACATCTAGTTCAGCAGTGTCGAACTGGGGACCACATACATTACAAAATGCTTCTCGTGAAGCAGGAAATGAGTCTATATTTTCCCACAAAATCTTGTTGGAAACCACACCTGCATGTACGATGTCGTCCTGTCGACCACGTCTACCATTATCACAATCACTATCGCTAAACACGACAGTTCCCGGTGTCACAAACTGTGT